ATCTATCTATCTATCTATCTATCTATCTATCTATCTATCTATCTATCTATCTATCTATCTATCTATCTATCTATCTATCTATCTATCTATCTATCTATCTATCTATCTATCTATCTATCTATCTATCTATCTATCTATCTATCTATCTATCTATCTATCTATCTATCTATCTATCTATCTATCTATCTATCTATCTATCTATCTATCTATCTATCTATCTATCTATCTATCTATCTATCTATCTATCTATCTATCTATCTATCTATCTATCTATCTATCTATCTATCTATCTATCTATCTATCTATCTATCTATCTATCTATCTATCTATCTATCTATCTATCTATCTATCTATCTATCTATCTATCTATCTATCTATCTATCTATCTATCTATCTATCTATCTATCTATCTACTATCTATCTATCTATCTATCTATCTATCTATCTATCTATCTATCTATCTATCTATCTATCTATCTATCTATCTATCTATCTATCTATCTATCTATCTATCTATCTATCTATCTATCTATCTATCTCTATCTATCTATCTATCTATCTATCTATCTATCTATCTATCTATCTATCTATCTATCTATCTATCTATCTATCTATCTATCTATCTATCTATCTATCTATCTATCTATCTATCTATCTATCTATCTATCTATCTATCTATCTATCTATCTATCTATCTATCTATCTATCTATCTATCTATCTATCTATCTATCTATCTATCTATCTATCTATCTATCTATCTATCTATCTATCTATCTATCTATCTATCTATCTATCTATCTATCTATCTATCTATCTATCTATCTATCTATCTATCTATCTATCTATCTATCTATCTATCTATCTATCTATCTATCTATCTATCTATCTATCTATCTATCTATCTATCTATCTATCTATCTATCTATCTATCTATCTATCTATCTATCTATCTATCTATCTATCTATCTATCTATCTATCTATCTATCTATCTATCTATCTATCTATCTATCTATCTATCTATCTATCTATCTATCTATCTATCTATCTATCTATCTATCTATCTATCTATCTATCTATCTATCTATCTATCTATCTATCTATCTATCTATCTATCTATCTATCTATCTATCTATCTATCTATCTATCTATCTATCTATCTATCTATCTATCTATCTATCTATCTATCTATCTATCTATCTATCTATCTATCTATCTATCTATCTATCTATCTATCTATCTATCTATCTATCTATCTATCTATCTATCTATCTATCTATCTATCTATCTATCTATCTATCTATCTATCTATCTATCTATCTATCTATCTATCTATCTATCTATCTATCTATCTATCTATCTATCTATCTATCTATCTATCTATCTATCTATCTATCTATATCTATCTATCTATCTATCTATCTATCTATCTATCTATCTATCTATCTATCTATCTATCTATCTATCTATCTATCTATCTATCTATCTATCTATCTATCTATCTATCTATCTATCTATCTATCTATCTATCTATCTATCTATCTATCTATCTATATCTATCTATCTATCTATCTATCTATCTATCTATCTATCTATCTATCTATCTATCTATCTATCTATCTATCTATCTATCTATCTATCTATCTATCTATCTATCTATCTATCTATCTATCTATCTATCTATCTATCTATCTATATCTATCTATCTATCTATCTATCTATCTATCTATCTATCTATCTATCTATCTATCTATCTATCTATCTATCTATCTATCTATCTATCTATCTATCTATCTATCTATCTATCTATCTATCTATCTATCTATCTATCTATCTATCTATCTATCTATCTATCTATCTATCTATCTATCTATCTATCTATCTATCTATCTATCTATCTATCTATCTATCTATCTATCTATCTATCTATCTATCTATCTATCTATCTATCTATCTATCTATCTATCTATCTATCTATCTATCTATCTATCTATCTATCTATCTATCTATCTATCTATCTATCTATCTATCTATCTATCTATCTATCTATCTATCTATCTATCTATCTATCTATCTATCTATCTATCTATCTATCTATCTATCTATCTATCTATCTATCTATCTATCTATCTATCTATCTATCTATCTATCTATCTATCTATCTATCTATCTATCTATCTATCTATCTATCTATCTATCTATCTATCTATCTATCTATCTATATCTATCTATCTATCTATCTATCTATCTATCTATCTATCTATCTATCTATCTATCTATCTATCTATCTATCTATCTATCTATCTATCTATCTATCTATCTATCTATCTATCTATCTATCTATCTATCTATCTATCTATCTATCTATCTATATCTATCTATCTATCTATCTATCTATCTATCTATCTATCTATCTATCTATCTATCTATCTATCTATCTATCTATCTATCTATCTATCTATCTATCTATCTATCTATCTATCTATCTATCTATCTATCTATCTATCTATCTATCTATCTATCTATCTATCTATCTATCTATCTATCTATCTATCTATCTATCTATCTATCTATCTATCTATCTATCTATCTATCTATCTATCTATCTATCTATCTATCTATCTATCTATCTATCTATCTATCTATCTATCTATCTATCTATCTATCTATCTATCTATCTATCTATCTATCTATCTATCTATCTATCTATCTATCTATCTATCTATCTATCTATCTATCTATCTATCTATCTATCTATCTATCTATCTATCTATCTATCTATCTATCTATCTATCTATCTATCTATCTATCTATCTATCTATCTATCTATCTATCTATCTATCTATCTATCTATCTATCTATCTATCTATCTATCTATCTATCTATCTATCTATCTATCTATCTATCTATCTATCTATCTATCTATCTATCTATCTATCTATCTATCTATCTATCTATCTATCTATCTATCTATCTATCTATCTATCTATCTATCTATCTATCTATCTATCTATCTATCTATCTATCTATCTATCTATCTATCTATCTATCTATCTATCTATCTATCTATCTATCTATCTATCTATCTATCTATCTATCTATCTATCTATCTATCTATCTATCTATCTATCTATCTATCTATCTATCTATCTATCTATCTATCTATCTATCTATCTATCTATCTATCATCTATCTATATCTATTATCTAATTAGATTATTATTAGTTATTAATATTAGTATTGTTATTACGAATATTTATTTCAATAGTTATATTATTATATATACATATGTAATGTGCCTATGATTATAATATAATATATACATATAAGTTAAAATTCAAAAAACAAATATTTAACACTTTATTAATTTTGGATATATGCCCAAATATTACAAACAATTAACCTGCAAGGCCCAAGAAGCAATTACCCAATACAAAGCAGGAGCCTAAGCTGCTAGGGTTTGAAGAAACCCTAGCTATCATCAAGTCCCAACGCCACCCAAATTGCAGTCGTCAGATTGAATGAGATCTGATGGACCATATCAAAAGGAAATTAGGGTTTTATCATAAGGACACCAGCCGCTAACGAAGCTCAACCGTCCAAATATGTGCTTTGAATGCACGCGCGCAGCTCCAACAACCCCACACACTTGTGGATCTAACCCCCACTGCATTCGTTTGTTCCTACTATATCAGAGAACGCACGTCCCTGGCAACCTCCTCTGCCACGGCAACGACAGATGACAGGGGCGTAGTGCTGCCAAAACTCTAACGAGATGAGGGGGAGCCCCTTATTGACCTTTAGATCAGCCACATCACTGAAATTGAACGGAGGAGGCTCCTCCTCTCATCCCCCTCACATACAAACAAAAATACAAAGCAAAAGAATATAATAAAATAAAAAAAGGAGGGGGCACCAGATAAAAATAGGAGATAATAAAGAAAAACAAGAAAAATTAGCCATCCTTTCTGGGGAGAAAAAATCGAGAAAAATAATCCTTCCCCTATTCATCATCTTCCCCATCAGCAACACAAAAAACCAAAAGGAAAAAAAAGATATTTTTTCTCTTCAACAACCCAAAAAAAACAAAAAAGAGGGATATTTTTTATATGAGTGAGCATCAAAATACCTAAAAAGAAAAAAAAGTGTTGAAAGGCAAACACTTTACCTTTCCCGTGGGGAGAAGCTCACCGTCGTCGCTCGAAGCCAAATCTCCTTTGAGTCGTCTGAGATAATTTTTTTCCAAGTCTATTAGAGTTTTAGGGGGTTTAAAGGGCTGTCTTGTAGGCCTTTTGGTTATTTTTGGGTTTTGGGTATCGATAGGGAGGAGCTTTTAGGACATTTTGGCTCTTTGTCAGAGCCGTAAGCAGTGGCAACCACAGTGACCGCCTGATTTAACAAAGAAATAGTGAAAAAGGAAAAAAGAGATGGGGAGAGAGAATAGAGGAAAAACGTTGTGGGAATGAAGTTTGGTTATAAAGAAACATATTAGGTTTAGGTTTTTTAGGTTAAATTTAGAGGGTTAATTAAACCCTAAAAACAACATCGTTCTATTCATGGGTTGAGGCTGGGCTACTCGTTCACATGTGGGTTTATTGTTGTAAGAGCTCCAAAAGTTTTCCTTTAAATCTATTTTAGTCCTCAAATTAAAGTACCTTAAGTTTCTATTCTGTTACCATGTTCTGTGTGCGTTGCATTTTAGTCCTAAGTTCTAGATTTCTTATATTTATGTTATAATCAATATTTACCCTATAATTCTATTTACTATGCAACTTATACGACCACACATGGAAAGTCATACGTCTTCGAAGGATGGCTATAAACACATGGACACCTATGCATGAGGGGTAGGCTAGGACACTAGGACGACAGCACTACTCCAGAAGCACACTAAAACATCCATCATATTTCACGAAATAATTTATCTACAGTGTTATCGGATTGCCAACACATTATTTAAAACATTCAGCCGCCAATAGCCAGCAAAGCCATATGCACTCTTATGTTTTAACTCAGCTCTATTTTTCTTTTTCGTTTCGCATGTGTAATCTCGTGTTTCCTTAGAAAACCTCACATTTCTCTCTCCGATTCTTTACCCTTTATGGGTTCTCACCGGAAAATCGTATTTGGGTCTAACAGGCCGCTGACAACAACAGCAGACAGATAGAGCAAAACCGAACCATTCTTCCTCGTTTGTTTTTTTTTTGTTCCATTTTTCTAGTAAAATATCCCAAAATGGTTGCAAATTTTGGTTGTGTTGTTTTAGCTTCAGTTCTGGTAATAAGTTTGGGAGTGAACTCAGAGCCGGTTCAAGACAAGCAAGCTCTCCTTGACTTCCTTTCACAGACCAAACACTCGAACCGGATCCATTGGAACTCATCCACTTCGGCCTGCGATTGGATCGGTGTCCAATGCGATGCGAACCGCTCTTTTGTCTATACTCTCCGGCTTCCTGGTGTGGGTCTCGTCGGCTCGATTCCACCCAACACGATCGGCCGGTTGAACAACCTCCGAGTTTTAAGTCTCCGAGCAAATGGTCTGTCCGGTGAGATCCCAGCTGACTTTTCCAATTTGACTCTCCTCCGTAGCCTTTATTTGCAGGATAACGCCTTCAGGGGCCCGTTCCCATCCAGCGTGACTAGCTTAACACGTTTGGCACGGCTTGATCTTTCTTCTAACAATTTCTCCGGTCCTATCCCTTTCGGTGTCAACAATATGACTCATCTTACCGGATTATTCTTGCAAAACAACAAGTTTTCCGGTTCTCTCCCGAGCATCAGCTCCGGCGGTTTGGATGAGTTCAATGTTGCTAATAACAGCCTAAACGGTTCAATCCCCGATACGTTATCCAAATACCCTGCATCTTCATTCGCCGGAAACCTTGGGCTTTGTGGTGGCCCACTCCGTCCATGTAACCCATTCTTCCCTTCGCCGGCACCGTCCCCTTCCGAGCCCATTTCGCCCACAACTTCGGGTAGAAATCTTTCCACCGGCGCCATTATTGCTATTGCCGTGGGGTCGGCAATCGTCGCGTTACTGCTACTCCTCCTCCTCATCCTTTGCCTCCGTAAGAGGCAACGACAACCATCGAAGCAGAAGAAGCCGGTTGCGGCGGATACAAGGGTGGTTCCGCCGGCGGAGGCGGGAACTTCGTCGTCGAAGGATGATATAACTGGAGCGTCAACGGAAGGGGAAAGGAATAAGCTCGTGTTCTTCGAAGGTGGGGTTTATAGCTTCGATCTGGAGGATCTGTTGAGGGCTTCGGCTGAAGTGTTGGGAAAAGGTAGTGTCGGAACGTCGTACAAGGCGGTGCTAGAGGAAGAGACAACAGTGGTCGTTAAACGATTAAAAGACGTGGCGGTCAGTAAAAAGGAGTTCGAAATGCAGATGGAAATGCTGGGTAAAATTAGGCATGAAAATGTGGTTCCTTTGAGAGCGTTTTATTATTCCAAGGATGAGAAATTGCTCGTTTCCGATTTCATGCGCGACGGTAGCTTGTCTGCCCTGCTTCATGGTAAGTTTCTCTGTTTCATTTCAGTATTTTACATTATTTTTCCTTAGAGAGTCGAGAAATCCATGCAAATTTATTCTTAAAAATTCAAACATATACCTGACAAACTCCAGCTGCTCAATTTATGTTCTTTTTCCTCCCTGTTTTACGCTGTGATAATATTATATTTGTAACAACATTGTAGAATGTTGCTGGAATAATGCAATATTTAATTTCTTGAGGTTACAATGGGGAAATTAATCATTTAAGAAGGCTTTCAATTTAATAACCAGAAGCGTCCTTGTTATGGATTCCTTTGTACAAATCCACATTTCCTCACCAAACATTCTTACAAGAGTATGAGTTACGCTTATGAATCAATGGAACACTGTAACATGCAATCTCATAATTAATTTGTAGGTCCACCGACATCGTTTCATTACATCCTTTTTTTTTTTACCAAACTTGTAATCAACTCTCCCTTGTAGTTATGGGTAACTTTTAACTTTCCTTTCAATTCAAGGAACCTGAATATAGTAGTTAGAGCACTATTTGAAGTTAAATTAGTATGATCATAAAGCATAGTTTGTCACTAATCAAAGTTCTTGATGTCATTGACTTTAGACAGAACTTTTGGCATTAGGTTTATATTGGCCAGTCATGAAAATTACAGCTCAATTAAGCAAATTACTTTTTGTTTTTAGTAATGAAGTAAAGGGTCTTGTTATAATGCAGGTAGTAGAGGCTCGGGCCGTACTCCGTTAGGTTGGGACAACCGGATGAGAATAGCATTAAGCACCGCGAGGGGCCTAGCCCACCTCCATGTTTCGGGGAAGGCGGTCCATGGCAATATCAAGGCTTCCAACATCCTTCTTCGGCCGGACCAAGAAGCCTGCATCTCTGACTTCGGTCTCAACCCTCTGTTCGGCAATACTACCCCACCTAGCCGCGTTGCAGGCTACAGAGCACCCGAAGTACTCGAAACTCGTAAAGTTAGCTTCAAGTCTGATGTGTATAGTTTTGGAGTGTTGTTGCTAGAGTTATTAACCGGCAAAGCACCAAATCAAGCATCGTTGGGAGAAGAAGGGATTGACTTACCTCGTTGGGTCCAATCCGTGGTTCGAGAGGAATGGACAGCTGAAGTTTTTGATGTGGAGTTAATGAGATATCACAACATTGAAGAGGAAATGGTGCAGCTGTTGCAAATTGCAATGACTTGTGTATCGACGGTGCCTGATCAAAGACCCTCCATGCCCGAAGTGGTACGGATGATTGAGGAAATGAATAGAGTGGAAACAGATGACGGATTACGGCAATCGTCTGATGATCCTTCGAAAGGATCAGACGGCCAGACTCCCCCAACAGAGTCGAGGACCACGCCTCGATCTGGTACTCCTTAAACGTGCATGATGCCAACAACTAAAGGGAAATAAAAAGAAAAAAAAATGGAAAAGCAAAAAAGAGAGGATGGGGGTCTTTAGTTTCTCCTTGAAACGTGCTCAAAGCGCAAGTAAAAGAGTGATAAAGTGCACGGTTCGTAGGGGAAAGTAATTAATGTTTGCCCCCAAAGTTGTGTCTTTTTTTTTTAATTTCGTTTTCCTGGGTTTATTTTTCTTATCAAATTTTAATTTGCAATTTTTTATAGATGGAGTTGAAAAAGGGGGATTTGAAATGTTTTGAAGGATGGTGGTTCCATGAACTTATTGGAATTTGACCATTTGATGAATTTAGTTATGTTTTCTTTTTCAAAATGTCCCTCATAAACAAAACAATGCAACTCGTGCCTCTATCACTTTCGATTGACATAAATAGGATTTGAACATCAACTCTCAAAGTCTTGAATTTTAAGAATAACACTCTTGATTAGTTTTAAAATTGTTGCTTTTAATAACGAAGGGCTGAAAATGTATGAAAGCAAAAAAAATAAAACATGCACGGGTTCATGCCTTTGAACAAGCCGCACATGGGGGGTGATAAGCTCGTACTTGAGTGTGATTAGAACTGGCATGGGAATGATTAATTGCGAGATACGTGTAGGGTCAGTAGCACGAACGATGATTGGGGGGACAGATTTTGAGAATTTGATGTTTCAGTGGGAGAACTTTTGTCAGTTCATGGGAGCCAGAGGATGAGTGGGGGACAGCCTGGCCATTTTGTTCTGAGAACATGATCTTTGACGTGGCTAGGCTGGTGGCGTAGATCTCTTTGACTGAGACCCCACTGACCCTTCTTCCCGCATGTAATTTCTCCATTTAGCATGCAAAATGGTCAAAGGGAAGGGGCAGCATTCTTGGCTTTAAAAATATTAAAAGAATCGGGAATTGGTTTTCCAGTTGGTTTTGGTTGTAACTATGGTGCTGCCGTTGCGATGCATGATAATTGATGAATGTATTATAATACGGGGCCACGTTTTATAGGCGCAGTGCACTTAATAACAAGCTTCTTTTGCTTCTCCAGCGAATCACTGTACAACAACCTCACCTCACACTTCCTAGTATTTTTTACTTGTTTATTAATTTAGTTGGTGTACATCAAATATTAACTTAAAAAACTCAAATAAAGTTTAATTTAAAAAATCATGTAAAGTTAAATTATATCGAAAAAAGCCCAACTTAAAAATAACGTTATGAAAGCACACTATATCATTAGACGTTATATATAAATGGGATTAAGAGGTATCGGTAAATGTAGTTAGATATAACATAATAAGGTATAAATATAGATAGGCAGCTGCCACGTTGGAAAAATAAAGTGTATCCTAGGCTTGCAATACTTTGCTCGGACTCAACAGTGCATTAATATAAAGACACGTGGAAGGCAATATCAAAATCAAATACCATAAGACCATAATCTGTCTCACTTGATTAGTTCATGTTATTATAGTAAAAAAATGAACTGAAACAAAAAGAGTATCCATCCAGTTTTACAGGTCATGGTTAGCTTTATATTACAATGGAGGAGTATCCATCCAGTTGAGCTAAATTTTAAGCCTATTCATTAAGTCTCTTTATGGTCATTTAAGGTCCCCTTTTAACTGGTCTTTGGCTGATCTTGGTCATAATATTAGGCGCATTTACATTAATCTTTTTTTTTTTTTTTGGAGTTTGGCTGATATAATATTTTATGATTATCTTAAAGGCTAAAGCCCAAGCCAAGTGGTTTATTGCCTTGTAAGTTTATCCATATCAAAAGCTGGCTTAACTTAGTATGACACTCAAAACCATAATCATCTTTACCATGGAATTTGAATCCCTAAAACTCAGTTTTTGTTTTTAGTTGGATCGGGCAAGATGACTTTTAATTCTCTCCAGCCTCGTAGGGATTGAAATCTCAACAACCCTAGCGGCTTCATATGTTGGATGAAAGTAACTGAATGCCAATTCATTTACATTACTTCAAAATCAATGGATTCATTAAATGATAATAAGAAGTACTCCATCAAGGAAGGTAGTTGCAGAACAATCTAATTGATCATGAAGAAAAGATTTGATGTATATAAAATAAATACATCTTAAAGTCCATAAAGCTTAATGATTGTTAATTTCTTTATGGGACACAATTTAGCTTTAGTTTGTTGGGATGCCTTGTGAAAACAACTTCCATTGTGGGTTTCACTTGCCCGTGAAATTAGGTGCAGTGCTGGTAGCATCGGTTGCTGATGCAAAAGCCTCCATTTTCAAGGGAGAATGCAGGCCTGGGAAATTAAATAATTCGAAGTGTCAAATAACGTACATCAAAAAGATTAACATTGAATTGGATAGTTTTATTTATTTGATGATAATATTCTTCGTGAAGAACGAATGGGTATCCACAGGATGATTGGTCCCCTTGGATTGCATAGGATATGATACTTACGGACATGTGATGAGAGTAGATAAGTAAAACCAAATGATGGAAAAGAAAAAGGAGAAAATACCCTTCTTTGGATACCTTGGCTTTTTCGCTTTGATAAAGATGGTGCTTAAAGTTGGGGCTTCGCCAATCTTCCATGTCTAGTTACATGGTTTAGCCGATTAAGACTGCAAGTCTTCAACCCTACATGACTCTTCATTTTGGTGTCTCTCGCATATAGAGATAATGGGTTAAATAATATGATACTCCAAATACATTAAAACCCTTTAAAACTAATTAAAATAACCATACTGAATATAGATGAGTATCTAATACTTACAACCTGAGTATAACACTGTGCCACCCACATCTAAGTCCATGTGATAACTCAATGACTACAGAAGGACTTTTCAGTGGTTAAAACACTCTGCTGAGAAAACAAATGATGGATTGTATTACATTAATACATGGTCATGAATGCTTAGAAAGAAATGGAAAGATATGAACAAAATAGCTCAAAAACCTTTAAAAAAAATATTTAACCATGCTTATGCTAGTTGAGGAGATCAAAGGGGAGTAGTAGAGTTTGGGGTGGAAATGTCCTAAAACAGTCATATATTCAATTCTGAAGTCATGAAAAAAAGTCAGAAGAATTTGATTTTGAATTCAAATTATGTAATTTTCCCAATGCCCTCCTTTAATGGAAAAGCCACAAACTGAAGAAGCATAGCTGCTGCTCAGCTATATTATTAAATGTACTGTGTTTTCCTGAATATGAACAGAAAACAGCTTGAGTATTTTTTTTTGTTTGCAAGTTTCTGTACACATTGATCTGATTCAAGGTATATTCTCCATCCTTTCAACATGTTTAATAGCTCATAGTTGCTAACAGCCTATCCAGCTAGATAATTCAGATGAATCACAGCAATACATCGGTGACACATTCCAGGCCGAACATGCCGGTCAATTCTTGCTGTGAAGCAAAAGTACCCATTGTTTGCTTCTTTTCAGTTAAACCGGACCCTCTGTTGAGTTTCCTTGGCACACTTACTTTTTACTTATGATGATTAGTCTCGAGAACAGACTTTAAGGTTAAGGACTGAAATTCATATCAGTTCCCCATAAAGCCAGTGTAGCTTGTATTTCCTCAGTACTGGGGTGTGATCCATCACCAGCAATAAAGGAATGAAGTTTTTGACATATTTGAATCCAACTGCACGCAAGGCTCTTCTATAAACATTTTTCTTTCATGAAACCCCTTATTTCGGAGACTTCGTCCAACCTTCCTGCAGCAGCATATGCATTTGAAATTGCCACATAATTAACTGAATTAAGCGGTTCCAATTCTAATAAATACTTTAATAACTGCTCCACCAATTCAATCTCATCATGCTCTCTGCATTATTTAGCAAGAAGTGATCTGATTTCATGTGCATGCATCTGCCTCATATGGCATTGCTAGGATAGGCGTAAAGGCTTCATCCAAACGACCAGATTGAGAAACAGAACTAACTACACACCCATAAATATAATGCTCCATGCTTGGCAAGAAATGATGTCAACAAAAATCTCCAAACATTCATTTACCAGCCCAGTGTGGGTGCATGTAGACAAGATACTTGTAAATGTCATACCATCAAGTTCTACACCAGCTTCTTCTAGATTTCTAAACCCTGTAAGAGCTTCTCCAGCTTGACCCATGTCAACAAAAACCCTTTTTCCTGCATCTCAGAAAAGCCCCCATCAAAGCCACTTCATTCAAGTCAATTCTACATTTCAGTCCTATAATGGAAGCCCAAGAGGACACATTCTTCACCCTTCATGTACTAAATAAATCATTAGCAATATCAAAAGCACCACACTTTTCATAAAATATAACTAACTTCGTCTCATTATACTCGTTTGTTGCAAAGAAATCACCGTTTTTGAGAAGTTCAACATGAATCTGGTGACCTGTGGAAATATATCGTTCATAAAAGCAACCCCGAAGGATTTGACACGGGCCTCCAATTGAATCCCTTGAGACCCTCCCAGAACGGACCCATTAGCCTATTGTCGATGCCTTCCTATAGGCTTGCGGTAGCCCATTAGAAATTAATAACGAAAGATGCCGACCAGAATTAATTTTGTCTAATAAAATTCAATAACAATCTATCTATAATAATATTAAACTCTTGAAAGATTCTAATCTCTCTAATTAATTAAATATTAATTTAATTTACAAAATTGAAACAAAATATTTAAAAAATTACAACATAAACTACTTATAGTAAATTTAAAAACCCGACTACTTCTATGCATCAAACCACTAATGGTTACTATTTGTCTGTAACCATATAATTTGTAGGTTTAAAGGAGGAAAAGTTTATTGAAATATGGTTTAAATCTAATTAAAACAAAGTGCATGACAGTTTTTGTTTATTAATTAATGATATTACATAAAAACAAAAATTCCAGTCTTGAGCTACACTCTAATTCCCGGCCTTTTGTCTTTTAAGTAAGAGGCCGACCGAAGATATTCTAATTCCATCCTCCACTCTCTTGCTTCGGATGCTCATGCTTTCTAATTTTATTATATCTTTCTGTTTTTAATTTACGGTCAAACCATATATACTATTCAAATAGTTTTTGAAAAGGAGTGATGAATGATGGTTGATACTATTGTATTTTCATACCAACAAAAGACAGTTTTAATTTCTGTAAAAAAAAAAAACCAATAATTGCATGCTAGTTTCATTAAGCGTTTAAGTTTATATTAATTTATTCTAGATGCTAAATATATCAACAAGTATGTAGATAATTAAAAAGGGTACAAGTTAATTATTAGAATTTATTTGATTTACTTTGTAGTTATTATTTTAATT